AAATTCACTTTGTAATAAATTTTAATAGCAAATAATTCTCGATCATGATTGGCTAATTTTGGGGTGAAACCAAATCGATAACATTGTTGGTAATATCTGATGAACTTTCGATTTTTCCGGCTGTTTTAACATGTAGGTTATTAAGTTGACGCAAGAAAAAATGGGTTACACGAGGAGCATTATATCGTTAGATGCAATTGCCACGCATTAATAACGTTGTATAGACCAATGAAATTAATGCCATGTGCCAAGGGGAAACTTAAGTTTTTGTAGAGATCTTCAGATATAAAATTATAAATTGGTCCCATTTATTTCAATTCAACTTAAAATGTCAAAACCAACACCGAAATTTGAGGTATGAATTTTTATTATTAAATCACAAGAACGGTTCTTTTTTTATTTCTAAAATATTTACTTTTCATAGGTTTGTGTCGATTCTGTGATATCCGCTATAAATGCAGGTATATTCTGTTCTTTTTTTTTCGTTATTTTATAAATTTCTTATTGTTATATATTGCATTAAGAAAACGGAGGGGCATCGCGTGTTGAGTTGTGTGATAATTTGGCAGAAGGTGGGACTACACCAAGCTCAGGTAATATTTTACGTTATATGAATCAAAGATAAATAAAGTTTGTGATTTAGTTATTTAAATGTAGGAATGATTTCAATGTCCCTTAAACGTTTGAAAATTCCAGTGATGGTGAATTATCAATTAGTTTTTATGTTTATACATTATCCAACTTTTTTTTTTAATCAATCTTTTAAATTATGTATTCAGGTCATGATAAGGCCGAGGTATATATAAATTATTTCGAAAACTAACTGATATATTGTCAAATAAGAAGATTATACATTTATCTTATTGTATGTAGAGGTGGAGATTTCTGTTACAATGAAGAAGAATTCGAAATTATGTGTTTGGATATTCAGCATGCGAAAATTCTTGGGGCACATGGTGTCGTTTTTGGAATTTTAAAACCTGATGGTAGCGTAGATGTTGAAAGAGTTGCCAAGTATTAATCAATATTTGCTATTCTACACAATTTATTTTTTTCATTTAAAAAAAAAAGTCTTCATTAATTTCTCTTAGATTGGTTGAAATTGCGAGTCCTATGAAAGGTTAATTTTTAATGCAAAATTAGGATTAATTATTTTATATTTCTAATTTAAGATTCAAGACTTATATTTTTATTTTTTTTATTAAAAGTAACTTTTCATAGGGCATTCGATATGACGAATGATCCATTAAAAGCTCTTAATGATATCATTAGTATTGGAAATATACAACGAATCCTTGCCAGGTATCATTTTTGTTTTTTTTTTGGTTTTCTTTTTTAAAGTATCTATTTTTTAAAAGCTAAAATAAAATTGGTTGTTCACAAAAATAATTTCATTTAAATTAGCGGTTGTGATAGTACTGTATTAGAAGGCTTAGAGACAATTGTGGAATTGGCAAAACAAGCCCAAGACCGAATTATTATTATGCCTGGCGGAGGTTTGTTATTATATTATAACATATATGCTTGTGATTATATATGCTTTATAAAGCTTTTATATCAAAAATTAGGAATACGTGAGTCAAACATATCAAGAATCCTTGCGGCAACATATTTGCAAGAAATGCATGTATCAGCCAGTACTACAATATCTTCCTCTATGATACATAAAACTTCAAATATTCACATGGGAAGAGCTTTTTATAATAGTGAATATTTGATAAATGCAGTAAGTGAAGAAAGATTAATAAAGATGATTGACATTGCTAGTAGGTTTACTGGGTAAATGTATTGCTTAAGCGACTAGTTTTAGAGTCATAATCGAAATTTTAATTGAGAATGTAAAAAAAAAAAAAAAAATTATATTTTATTTGTTTACGAAGGCTATATATAAATTTTTAACATTTAAGCCGCATAAATTTAACAAATTTTCAATAATAAAGATACTGGTAGTATATTACTCGCTTTGGCTTTTAATTAATATATATATATTTTTTAAAAACATTTGAAAATAAAACAAATGTTTATTTTTAAATTTCAGAAGTGATCTTATTTAAATTTATAGGTCATGACCTTTTTATAATCCACTTCTAGTATAATCGCATTTGTCGTTATAATTGAGAATCGCTGGAACTGGAAAATTATTATGTTCTGATATCACTAGAATCTTCCAGAGAGGAACTACTGGATGAAAATTTTCGGATGCAACCCAGTTCACGTGAAATATACGTACATTCATCATCTTTATACTCTTAATACTCTTTATATTATTACAGTTTTTTTCAGGTAAGTTATATGTTCATTTATTTTAAAGTTGAATTCAATATATTATTTTTTTTAAATAAATATAGTTATTTCTCGTTTTTAAGTCCTCATCTTTATGTATACTTGGGCTTGGTGCTACAAAAAGGGGGAAATTGACAAATTTTTAAAAAATTATTTTTACACAAATCAATTTAGAATAATATTAGGATCATTTTTACTTAAAACAAAAAAGCAGTAGTATTAATAAAATTTTGCAGTATAGCTCTTTAAATTTTGTATTTTCTTAGGATTTATTATAAAAATTGATCTTTTGTTTTGTCGATTTCCCCCCTTTTTGCAGCACCAAGCCCACTTGGTTTTATGAATTTATCATTTTATTAATACTAAATCGGTTATTTTATTTTTAGCTCGTGTATGTTTGTTAAGTTTTATATTTGGTTTTAATTGCTATAATAATAATAAAAAAACAAAAAAGCTTGCCATAATATACATGTAATAAACCTTTTATAAAAATGATAAGCACTCAACATTGTTTTCTTCTTACTATTCATAACAATAATTTATTTTACCATTTCGATATATTTAATCCCAAAATTCGAAATTAAGTTAATGTGGAAGTCGAAAATAATGTAAATCTTAAAAAGTTTATATACTGTATATATTTTTTAACTACTGTGACATATTTCTGTTATCCCGCACGTACAGTACGTTCTTTGCGCGTAAATTATCTGCCTGTGCATCATCTTTTCATACATTATTCTCGTACATTATCTGTTTGTACATTGTCTGCTTGTACATTACCCACATTACCAACCTTTTCAATATTCAGCAATCTACTTTGCAAGACAAAAAAGACAATGTATAAAAAAACGATTAAAAAATCATGAACAATTGTAAAAAATGTATAATAAATCGGCAATAAAAATTGTTATTTCGCAAAAATAAATAAAAAATTAAATGAATAATTTAAATAATAATTAAATAATAGATGAGCTTTGAGTTAAGTATATACCATTAATAAGCCATAATACACGTCACTCTGGTTATGTCGACACTCTCCAGCAATGAAAAATTGGCGATATACCCAGATGTCAGCTTAATAGCATCTCTATCTATACCGACATTTGAGTTTATTCTAGGAATAATAAACTTAGCAAAATGAATTTATTTTGGCACAAACCGAATTCGCTTTATGTTTAGCATAAAGTGAATTCATCAACTTATGTTTGCACGTATGAATTTATCTTATACTTAACATGAAATGAAATCATTTTATGCTAAACCTAGCAAAAAAAAACTTGATTCATGTTAAACTTAGGAGAGTGAGTGATTTTTAAGGGGAGGGGGTAAAATTATATATAAAGACCTAATTAAATATATGGGGAAGTCAATGAAAAACAGGCAAATTGTTTTTAATAAAAATTAAATTAAAATATTTCAACAAATATCAACCCAAATTTAATAATTTTTTTTTATTTTAATTCTATAACTATATAGAATTAATCTAAAAAAAAAATTATTAAATTTTGTTTGATAATTTTAAGATATTTCAATTTAAAATATAAAAAATTTTTACTTAGAAAATTTGTCTATTTTTTATAAACTTCCCTATAAATTAAGAAGAAATACCTCTAATAAAAAAAAATTAGATGACAAATAATACTTTTTTTTGTATAAAAAAATTTGGTTTATGCTAAACATTGTTTATTTATACTAAATATTGTAAAAAGAATTTTATTATATACTAAGTACAAGTAAATCAATAAATATCAGATATATAATAAAAGAAAAGTTTTTTGATATATACCTATTAGTTTGCTATAAATTTTGCTAAGTATTAGCATTTTATTAGCAGTATATTAGCAAGATATTTAAGGATAGATTAATATTGGTAATATAATAAGGAAATTGCTATTTTTACTATAGATTTTTGCTATTTTTACTATAGTTATACAATAGTTTCTATTTTTAGCAATAATATAAAAAACTCATAATTCTAACTTTAGCTTTAAATTTTCTAAAACTAACCCTAAAACTAATAAGTAAACCTTTTTTCTAGTTCTAAATAAAGTTGTAGAGAAGAGTTTCTGGTTTTAATAGTATAGTCAGAGATTTTACTAAATTAGAAAATCATATTCTAGATTGATCTCTGTATTATTCTATGAATTTGATTAGCTATATAATAATTTTTATCACCATGAGCTTATTTAATATTTTATTTATTTATTTAATATTAAATAATATATAAATAGCTAATATAAAGTATTTATTTCTATTTAATCTCTTGAAATAAACAATTAAAAAGGTAATATCAAGAAAATTAAGTAAGTGCAAATTTGCAAAAATTTGTATTTTTGCAGATTTTTTTGCAAAAAATTTGCTAAATTTTTTAGAATTTGAAGTTTTGCACAAAATTGCATTTAATTTCTGCATTTATAGTATCAAATTTGAAATTTTGTGCAGATTTTTATTTGATTTATTATTTAATTTTTTTACAAATATGCACAAAACTGCAATAAAAAATTTTTTCTGATGAATATAAACTAACTTTTTTTTAATTAATAAGCAAAGTTTGTTGTAGTTACATTTGATTAGTCAATTACACATAATTTTTATACAATCAAATAATCTAGAATCATGTGATCAACATTTTTATAATATACAAGATGAGGGTATGGTGGCTTAGTGAAGTGGTCTAGTCATTATCTTACCAAGCAGCAGGTCTAAAGTTCGAATCCTATAGATGATGCTTTTGAAAAATAAACCTGTGTTATGGTAATGATTATCTGCTGATCAGTTGGATCTAGAATCTGTAATCTTGGTTGTACTATCTAGTATGGGAGCTTTGGCATATAAATGCCAAGAAACTAGAATGATCGAAACCTGTTTGGGAAGACCCAAGTAAGAAGTAACTACAATCTTTAATAGTGCTACAAGAAAGACCCAAATTTGGAAGTTAGGATCGAGATTGGAGAACTAAACAACAACAAGATCCTTTAGTGGGAATTAACTAACCTGATTGCCAATTTAGAAAAGTTAGAAATCTGTGAGGCTGTTATAAAGTACACCAATTCTGGCCAGCTAGCATAGGAAACTAGTAGTAAGAGCTCTACTCACCAAGATCAGTGGTTATGAAAGTTAGACAGAAAACCAGTCAGACAAAAAAATGCCAGGCATGTTTGGAGGACCAGTCTACTAAATTAAGAGAAAAAGAACATGTGCTGAGAAATCATATACCAAGATAAGACAAGAGCACTGGCACCTAATGCCAAGCCAAGGTCAAATCTTCTGGGTCACTGGTTGGAAGTAAGGAATGAACTAATAAAAAAAGAAATAACAGAAAAAGAAAAGGTCTGAATGTGGGTACTGAGATTGGGATGTGAACTTTATAAGGGCAAAAGTGGTTAAATGGGTAATAACTCAACTGCAAGTAAGAGCCTTGGCAACTGCGCAAAACCAGGTTGGCCCAAATGGGATAGGAAAAGCTCTGGTAGGTTTACCTTGTGAATAGCTATGCATCTGCTTAACAGAGGAATACAAGCTGGTAATTAGTTAGTGCAAACCCAGGATAAGTCATGGAAGTCCTAAGGCAGGGTGTGCAATCTAGAGAAATAGCCAGATAGTAGTTTCTGGGTTAGTATAATATGTATAAAAATGGTTAGAATTAGAAGGTTTAAACAGGTAACTCTCTAGTTGAGTTATAGGTACAGCATCTAGTGTAGAACCTGTGGCGGACTACTTAAATAGACACTTAAAAGGTGCATGTGTGGCTAGTTGTATCTTCATTGTAACTATAATAGTAAAATAATTACTAATAAAGAGTCCTCATAGCCAAAGAGGTCACCTTAACACCAAAAAAAAAAATAATAATATACAAGATATGATCTACACTGTTTATTTTAAACAAAATCTCTGACTATAATAGTTAAATTATTAATATTAGCCTAGTGAATTCTAAAATATTTAGAATTAAAAACAGCAATATAAAAATCTACAAGTTCACTATTACACAAAATAATATATACTATTAAAATCTTTGTATAATGGTTAATTTGTAAATAATTCTATTTGTAATTTTAATTCTAAATATTTTAGAATCTACCAGGCTTATTTTAATAATTTAACCACTATTAGAACTAGAAAAAGCTTCTTTGCAACTTTATTTAGAAATAAAAAAAAGATTTATTTATTAAGTTTAGGTAGAAGTTATATCTGTTATAAAATTTGAGCTCCAAGTTATTCACCTATTTATAACATTATTACTAGATTATAAATCAGGTTATCTTAAATTATCTGGGTAATCTAAAGTAACCCAGTTGATCTAGTTTATTTATATATAATTTTTTAAAAAATTTATTTATTTAATTTATTTAATATACAAAACTACTATTCTTAATAGATTATTAGTACTTATTCTAATAGAGTAAAAAAAAAATAGTTTTGCATACTATTCTTAATAGAATTATACTGTTTCTGATAGAAATTGTAGAATCTATATTATACTGAACTATTTGTATTAAT